TCCCCAGCACTGTTCCCATCCCCCAATTCCCCAATAAAAATCTTTTTAAAAATTACAATGAATGTTTAAATTAAAAAAAATTATTACAGTAACAGACACATTGCCATTAATCCCTCTCAAACCCCCCACCCCACCCCCACCCCTGCTTCAAACACACTTATCCCATTGTTCTTGCCACTTTCTGAAGCAGTTCTGGAAGTCCTCTTTCGTTGAATATCTTTAGTTGCACTGTCGTGGCTGCCTCAATGTCCTGAATGGATTCAAACGTTTACCTTTCATGGTCATTTTGACTTTGGGGAAGAGCCAGAAGTCGCACAGTGCCAGATCCGGTGAATAAGGTGGATGAGGACACACTGTAATGTTTTTATTTGACAGAAATTGCTGTACCAGAAGCGATGTGTGACACGGAGCATTGTCATGATGGAGGATGAAGCAAAGACACTCAAGAAAGAGGACTTCCAGAACTGCTTCAGAAAAAGGCAAGAATGATGGGATAAATGTGTTTGAAGAAAGGGGGAGTATTTTGAGGGAGATTAATGGCAATGTGTCTTTTACTGTAATAAATTTTTTTAATTTAAACATTCACTATATTTTGTGATCACACCTTGTAGTATATGATGTGGGCTGAAAATAAAGATTTCGCAGTTTTGACATACTGAACACTACAAAACATTGTTGAAAGAAATTAAAGAAGATCTAAATAAATGGAAAGACGTCCCATGTTCAGGGATAGATAATTTAACTGTTAAGATGGCAATCTCCCCAAATTGAGCTGCAGATTTAAACAATCCCCATCAACATTCCATCTGGCTTCTTTTGAGAAATTGACAAATTGATCCTAAAATTCATATGGAAATGTAAGAAACCCCAAAAGCCAAAACAATTTTAAAAAACAGAAACAAAGTTGAAGGACTCACACTACAATTTCAAAACTTTCTACAAGAGCTACAGTAATCAAAAAATTGTGGTACAGGCTTAAGGATAGACATACAGACCAATAGAATAGAATTGAGAGTCCAGGAATAAACCTTCACATCTGTGGTCAATTGATATTTTGACAAGAGTGGCAAGGCCATTCAATAAGGGCAGAATGGTCTCTTCAAGAAATGGTCCTGGGACAACTAGACATCCACATGCAAAGAATACATTTGTACCCCTACCTCATACCATATAGGAAAATTAACTCAAAATGGGTCAAAACCTAAATGTAAGAGTTAAAACTATAAAACTCTCAGGAGAAAATAAGCATAAATAATCTTGGATTTGACTATGGATTCTTAGATATGATACCAAAAGCACAAGCAACCAAAGAAAAAATAAATCGGACTTCATCAAAATTAAAAACCGTTGTGCTTCAAGGGACATAATAAAAAAAGTGAGAAGGAAATCTACTGAATGGGAGAAAATATGTGCAAATAATATATTTGATAAGAAACTTGTAACTAGAATATATAAAGAATTCTTACAACAACATAACAGAAAAATAAATAACTCGATTAAAATATGAACAAGTGATTTGAATAGAAAAAGAAATAACTCAAAATATGAACAAATGATCCAAATAGACATTTCTCCAAAGAAGATCTACAAATAGAGAACAAACACATGAAAAGATGCTCAACATCACTTGTCATTGTTTGAAATGCAAACAAAAACGCTAATGAAATACTACTTTATACCCACTAGGATGGGTATAATCAAAGGACAGACAATAACAAGTGTTGCTGAAGATGTGGAGAAATTGGAAACATCACACATTGCTAGTAGGGATGTAGAATGGTGCAGCCACTTGGAAAAAACAGTTTGGAAGTCTCCCAAAATGTTAAACATTGAGCTACAATATGACCCAATTCTACTCCTAGGTATATGCCCAAGAGAACTGAAAACATGTATTCACACAATAACTTGTACATGAATGTTCATAGTAGCATTGTTCACAATAGTAAAAAAGTAGAAACAACCCAAATGTCCATCAATTGATGAATGGATGACTACAATGTGGCATATCCATGCAATGGAATACTGTTCAGCAATGAAAAGGAATAAAGTTCTGACTCATATTACAACATGGATAAACTTCAAAAACATTATGTTGAGTAAAAGAAGTCAGACACAAAAGACTCCATATTGTCTGATTCCATTTATATGAAATATCCAGAACAGCCCAAATCTATAGAGACAGAAAGTAGATTAGTGCTTGCCTAGAGCTGAGGAGGCAGGGGCAGGGGATGACTGCTAATGGGTTTCTGGTTGGGTGGGGTGATGAAAATGTTCTAAAATTGAATGCGGTGATGCTTGTGCAGCTCTGTGAATATACCAAAAACCACTGAATTATACACCTTCAACTGGTGAATTGTGTGGTATGTGATGATATCGCAATAAAGCCGCTATTTTTAAAATGTGATCCAGGAAAATCGTTTGGTATTTCCTCAAAAAGATAAACATAGAATTACCATATGACCTTGCAATTCCACTCTAGGTATATACCAAAAGAATTGAAAATTGGGACTCAAACAAGTACACATACACTCATGTTCATAGAGCACTATTCACAGTAGTCAAAAAGGTGGAAACAACCCAAATGTCCACCAACACATGAATGGGTAAACAAAATGTGGTATACATATTCAATGGAGTATTATTCAGCCTTAAAAAGTAATGAAGTACTGACATAGACTACAACATAGATGAACCTCAAAAACATTATGTGCAAAGTGAAAGAAGCCAGACACAGAAGGTCACATTGTGTATTATTCCATTTACATGACATGTCCAGAATAGACAAATTCATAGAGACAAAATACAGATTGGTGGTTGCCAGGGGCTGCGAGGAGAGGAGAATAGGGAGAAACTGCTTAATAGATAAGGAATTTTACTTTGAAGTGATGGAAATGTTTTGGAACTAGACAGATGAGGTGGTTACACAACATTGTGAATGCACCAAACACCACTGAATTATTCTCTATGAAGTGGTTAATTTTATGTTAGCGAATTTCACCTCAATAAATTATTTGAAAAAGCAAGCCACAAAATCTAAGGTAATATCTCCATTTACATGCAACATTTTAAAAGTTGAAAATGTTTCAAAAGGAGAATTTACTTTTACAAGTTGGGCTTGGCTCTTTTTTTTTTAACCTAAGAAATTTGGCTAACTTTAGAGAACTCTGGGTAATCCTAGATATAAAAAGATACTCTCTTCACTCCTTATAATAAATTACTACTACGGAATTAGTTCAGTTGGAGATTTTGAAAGATTTATCTCATGCTGTATTTACAGATTTGAGAGTTAGTGCAGCCTCCCGTGTCCCTACTGTCAGAGATTCGCTTGCTAACTCACCAAGCACAAGAACAGCATTTGATTCCCAAAAGAAAACATCCCACACTAATTAGTATGGGACACGCTGCTTCCCAAACTCTCCATATAAAGCCTGAGTAAACTTCCAAAACCAAGATGTGGAACAGAAATCATGAAAATTATCTATAACCTAGACAACAAAGGAATGGAATTTAAGAGCCAATTATTCACATAACTGCCCCAGTTTGTTTTTATTCTAATTTGCTTGTGGAGACTATGTCCCTTAAACACTCAAGTGTGTTTCAACTAGATTCTAGTACTTATGAGAAAGAACCTCAGTTTAAAATAAAGGAAATATTTAAGCCTTTAATCATATGGGGGGAGGGGGCATGCCATCTATTTAGAAACAACACCTGAGTTTGAGCCCTGAGCAACAGCAGTTCCATTCCAGGCCCAAGCTGAGCAGCCGCTGAGCTGCCAACCGGTGGCAGGATGGCTCAGCTTAAAACAAAACAAAACAAAACAACAACATGCTTTGCGGGAAGCAGATGATCTAGCGTTTCCCAAATTCTACCTAGAATATTCTAAAACCATGAGGCAAATCTCGTGAAGTTCTGTGTTGAATAGCTATAAGAAATAATCTGATCACTGAGTTATAAAATCTAATAAAAATTCAATGATGCTACTAAATGTTACATAGGTATGAATATAGCTATTTATAAGTATATTGAATAAACAGATATAAATTTACAGAGGCTTTCTTGTTCCCTGCCACTGAGTTTTAAATTGAGATTTTATATTGGTACATTTCCAACTGAAATCAAATCAAACGTAAAATAGCTCTTCAATAATACTTTATGCTACATCATAAATTCAAACCTGCATCTTCCTAAAGGTAGTTTTCGATGTTATCCCAATATTTAGCCTTCAGTTCAAGGGATGATGCCTTGTGCAACATCACACAGAGCAGCTCCAGAACCGTGTGAGGAAATGAGAAAGGGGGAGAGGCATTCTGGCTCACTCTTGCGTTGCCTTCCGGAAGACAGGCACATTCCCAGCACTCACCATTCTCAGAGGCCTTGGTTTTCTTTGATGAACTGGCACAGCCCATGTCTCCTAGATTGCGTGTGTTCAGGAAAGTTTCAACTTCTCATTCCAAGACGTGTGAAGAGTGCTCTCCTTTACGCTGCGAGGAGCCACTTAAGTCACAGATCCTGATGGGGAAGACACAGGAGGGAGGGAGGAAAGCACCCGTTAACAACAAGGTATCTAAGGGCTGCTCGGCAGGATTCATTTTATGCTTCTTCTCAACTGCTGTTCATCACGTGATGTGGAAAGTGATCAGACATAATCTAACCCTGCCTTATTTTCCACAGCGCAGCAGTAGCAACAGAGCAGCGATCGATGGCTTTTCTGCCACACATAAATTATATTTTCCTCAGGTCTCGATCAGATTGAGGAAGGTAGAAAATAAAGCATTAAAAATGAAAAGGAAAATGGAAATGTAAAAGCGTGTAATTTTCAAACTGAAATATAGGGAATGGGATATGAGGTATCTGACATCATTTAACGGTTTGGGTTTTCAACTCAAAATCATGAAATCGACCCGGGCTTTGAAAAACACAAATTGGAGACTGATTATGAAACAAAAACAACATATTTAGACAACTATGCCAAAATTCAAATTAAAGTGGGTCCTTTGACAGTATTTCTCAAGATCAGCTAAGGCACTTGTTTTTAGAAAGGAGGCTCTGGGCCTGCTGCCAGGCTAAGGCATCAAAGTCCGAGGGAGTGCCCTTTTTAAACAAGCTCTCCAGGTGTTTTTGAGATCCCTCCAAAACTACCCTCTGCTAGCTCACCAAGCCTTCCGATGAGTTAGATTAAACTGCTAAACTAATCTTCCACAATCACATCCAGGGAGTTTTCAACAAAATTCCTTTCTTTCCTCATCGCTTTTTTTGGGGGGTGATGTTTCGGAAGGGCACCAAAAATTTTGCCTCTGGGGGTATTGACTGTTCAGCTGGTTACTAAGAAATAAAAGACCCAGAAAGAATTTTTTGACCCTCCCCTCTTTCCCGCATAAGAGATTGAGATAGAAAAACCTGCTTCAGGAAGGAAACCTTAGCATAATCACATTAGTGTTAGACAGGAGGACTCCAAGCAGGAGCCTGTTTATAAGACCCCTCCAGTGTCCCACTGTTTCTGGGTTGCCTAGCAAAAATTTACCTACCCTGTGTTTTCAGCGCTTCCTCAACTACCTGTCAACTGCCTACTTCCTCTGAAATCTCAAACCCCCATCCCCTACCCTTTCTCCTTTATCCAAAATGACATTTATACTCAATTTTACCTCACTGTCTTTGGAATTTTCATACTTATGTGAATTCCCCCACACGCATGTATTAAAATTTGACTTTTCCTGTTAATCTGTCTCTGTTAATTATTAGCCCAGCTAGAAGAATCTAGAAGGTGGGAGTAAAGGTAATTTTTTTAGCCCCCACATTTCCTTTATTTTGTGACGCTCCAAACCAGCCTGATCTAATATATTTGCATTTCTTCATAGGAACAAAGTCAGAGAACTGCCCCGTGACCCTACCGTACATGTCTATTTTTCCATTAACACCACACTAAAAGCTTCAAATTTTCAACTCATCTAAAGAAAGGGGAGCCAGCTGAGTGGCTCGCTGGTTAAGAGCTGGCTTGGGAGCGTGAGCTCCGAGCAGCAGGGCCGCCAGTTCAGATCCCACATGGGCCAGTGAAGCAGTGTCCTTCACAACTAGACTGAAGAACAAAAGGACAGCAACTTGTCTGTGCCCCTTCCCCGATTCCCCAACGCTGTTCCCTCCCCCAATTCCCCAATAAAATCTTTAAAAGAAAAAATAAAGGGGAAAACTAAATGGGCAAAATGTATGAATTATGGAAATATTTTTAAAACAATAACCTTAATAAGCTGAGATTCTGATCAGAGAGCTAGTCCTAATTCTTTGATGTGTTGAATTAATTAACTCTCCTAAACTTTGGGTTATTTGTAAATTTGGTAGGCATTTCTTTCATACCTTTCTTATCTACACCTGGGATAAAAATGTTATAAGTTCAGCTCCAAGGGCAAAACAAACCCTTGTGGCATTCCACTCCACACCATTCTCCAGGGTTAGCACAGATCCATTACATACACACCCTCCGAGCACATTTGTGCTGTTAGGTGGTAAATTCGCCCATCATAACTATCTTCTTTATCTATGAGATGTCCTCAGAAATTTTGCTAAATATTTTAATGAAATTCAGACATATACTTTGACACCTTGACATTCCAGACTATCCCAGCAGCAGAAGAAAAAGAAGGGAGGGAGGAAAGGAAGAGAGGGAAGAAGGAAGAAAGGAAGGAAGGAAATCAGTTTGGCATGCTTTTTAATAACAGAATCATGGAAGTTTAAAGATGGGCGAGACCTTTAAAATTACCTAGAATTTATACAAAGTGCAAGGAAGTCAAGCAACTTGCCTAATGTCATGTAGACAAATTGGTTGTCAAACTTTGGTGCGTGTTGGCATCAACTGAGGAGCTTTTAAAACGCCCAATGCTCAGCACCTCATTAAATCAGAATCTCTGGGGGCTTAAAAAATCCTGATGCCTGGGTCCCACCCCCCGAGATTCTGATGTAATTGGTATTGGGTGGGGTTGGGCATCAGGATTTTTTAAGCCCCCTAGATGATTCTAATACGCTGCAAAATTTGACAATCTCTAATAGAGATGTTTTAGTGAGCCCGTGATGACGCCGCCTAGTGAGCATCACATTTTCCTCTAAATGCTTTGACTCCATCTGTTTGGAGCAAAAATTTTCCCGAGGTCATGTCAGGCTTAGAAGGCTGTGGCTTCTGGCATCTACTCTTCTCTCATCCTTGAAATTGGGGCACCATTTATACATTGCCTGCCCTCTCTCCATACTCAGAAATTTCTCCAAGGGTATCAGCAGTGCCTATGAGAACACTTCAGCTGGGGTCTTCATCAGCCTCTGAAGTCCTTCATCTAGAAGATCTGCTGGCCTTCTCCGAGTGCCTCGATTAGTGCTCTCTCAAGATTTACCAGAGGAAATTATTCAAAAATGCAGGTTCCCAGGCTTTACTGCCAATACTGGATTCAAGGGGGGGTGAAGGGGTTGGGAATATGCAATTAAAGTGTACCCTTCGGGGGACTTTGAGAAACAATGCTCTGTTGATCTTCCTTGGGCTTCACTTCCATCTTTATGCTATTTTTTTCTACCCCTCTTTATGAATACATAAGAGTTGGGCATTGAGTTAGGCAACAAACTGATTCAACAATAGTGTAAGGCAGAAATTCGGGAATCAATAATATAATTAGACTCAGCTAGCTTGTAGTTGATCCCCCCTGATATTCAGCTGTTTCCTCTTTGTTTCTCCCCTCACTGATTAACTGAAGAACTCTGTTTTGTTCCCTTTCTCAAGACAACCCATACCTTGTTAATCCATTTAATTAACAGAATCCTAACCTGAAAAGGGCAATTTCTTAATCCTCAGGCGGCCAGACACCAGAATCCAATTTGAAAGCCCCAGGCCAGACTGGGTGGCCAGTCCAAGTCCGGAGTCCAGAGATAACGTTATCTTACAACAGACCAGCCCCCAGGAGGGATGTCAGCCTTCAGAGCTGCCTGACCAACTCCCCCTTTCCTTTGTTCTGCTGCTGCTTATGTTCCTGTAAAACCTTCTGACCGGTCTAGAAACGGGGAGGTGGCCTTTGGACAGGAGTCCCCATCCTCCCAGAATGCCGGCATTCTGAACAAACCAATAGGAAGTGATATAGATCAATCTCAATTTTTTTTCCAGAAAAAGCAATAAATAAAGCAATATCTCTCCAAAGGCGTTTGGTTCTCAGCCATCCCTCAGTTAATTCATTACACAACAAACAGAAGTCCACGTATAAGATTCAAAAAGCAGCAGACAACAGTATATGTGTGCTACACTGTAAAGTCCCCGGAGATCTTTCTTTCTAAACACTCCTTGAATCTCTGGCACCTACACAGAGCCTTTCGCATAGCAGGTGTTAGATACACACTATTGGGTTGTCAGAAAAGTCATGACGCATTTTTGCAACGAAAACCAGAAAAAAATACATCATGACTTTTCCGACAACCCAATAAATGAATGAATAAAGGGATGGGTACTTCTAAACCAGTCCTTCTACAAATAAATAGCTAAAAATCATTATTAGTCTATCATTTTGTGCACAGATGCAGGCTATTCGATTACAAACCTTTTATTAAATCAGAAAATGAGCAGTACTTACACATCCATTTTTAAAGAACATTTTTAAATCACACTGGAAAGAAATGAGAATTGTTCTAACGTTCTTTGGTTTTTAGAAAAAAATTATTTGCTACTAGCATTTTTACGTTGTTAAATAATAATCATTAAGCAAGTTGTTTCTCAACTGTTTTTCACCCTCAGGTAACAGGTTTTAAAAAGGAGAAAAAGAAGCGTGTCAACACATTTTAATTCTCGCCAAAACAAAAGCTGGTTCAGGTCAGGTGCCACTTAAGCACTCCCACACACTGCCCAACCTAGACTGTAATCACCCACTTAAAGGCAGAGGGGGATGCAAGTTTTTATCATAAACAGTGTATGTGCCTTTGAGGATATCTCTGGCTGGCTGCAAAACTGATAAAAATGATTTGGGAATTTTCCATCATGTGGGAAAACCTAAGCTTCTTCCATTTCCTGCCCGTTGTCAGCATTAGAAGAGCATTTAGTGTGCTCAAGACGTCGCTGAAGAAATGGTTCCCTGGGGCCTGAAGGGGGTAGTCAGGCTCAAGAGGGCAGCTTCTGCAGCACTCACAAACACCCAAGGATGCCACAGTCAGTGCCATGAACCACACTGAAAAGGTGGCTCTTGGCAATAAACAGCTTGGGACTTGCCCAGTGCTGCTGCCCCTACCAACATATACTTATGTATATACTGAGGATGGTTTCAAAGCATAAACGTAAAATGGTGACTCAGCCCTGGAACTCATCATTTGCAAAAGGAAAGGTTTTTAAGACTTCTGCTAAAAGGTTTTCAGTGTGTGTGTGTGTGTGTGTGTGTGTGTGTGTGTGTGTGTGTGTGTGTGTGTGTGTGTGTGTGTAGGTAGGTAGGTGGGGGGGGGACTGGAGGGTGGAAGTGTTTGATGTTGTTCTTTTCATCCTAAGCACTTCATTTCCCAAGGTGCAAACACAAAGAAAGAACAAAAGATAGCCCTTGGAGCCAAGCTAACCTCTGCTACCAAGCACCCTCCAAGTACAGCCCAGTCTCCCCACATTGTTCTTATTCAGTCTTTATTTTCTTTCAAAGTACATCTCCACTGAACTCCCACACCTTGGCTCAGCCACCTTGACCTTGATTCCACCTCTTGCGTTCTAGATGTGAACTGGGTGGTTTCCCATGCTAAAAACTCAGCTTTTCCTAGAGAAAACTCAGCCCTTGTGAGAAATTCTTCCTGTAGCTCTGACCCTAAGGAACCCAAATCTAGCACCCACAGTCAATCAACTGCCACCACACCCCTGCCCTCAAAGTGGGGATTGGGTAGGCAGGTCTGATTCTACCTCCCTGTGAAGACACGAGCAAGGAGGGCAGATACCTCTCAGGCTCACCCCACTGCATTACCCTCAATATTAATCAAAACAGGGGTTCTATAGCCTGATGTCTGTGGCCTAAATAGAACTAAGGGGCATAGCGTGGGGTAGAGGAGTCCCGGGCAGATCATGCTAGAGGGGCTCCTTCCACCACTACCATTCCAGTAAAACCCTGCAGCATTTGCTTATGTCTGGGGTCCTAAATGAATAAGGGGAAATTTATAAGACTGCGCTGGTGATTCTTTCTGGGTCTTGTCAGATGAAAGGATAGGAAAAGGGAGGAGACTGGCCACAAGCAGGTGTCTGAGGGTACCTGTTATATCACACGGGACTGCCATCAGGAGGCAGCGTGGCCTGGTGCCGAGTTTTCTACAGTGTGTTTGTGGAAGAGTAGTTGCATGTGGGTTTGTAATTCTCGGAATAAGGCAAGAAAGACCCCACCACCAAATAAGTCCAGGAGAAGTAGGATTCCACAGGATTCTTGACTGCAGGACTCCTCTGAGCCTTCAACACATTGTGAATCTCTGAGAAAGGGCTCTAGTGTCCACTGTTTCCCAAACAGCCTAGCAGGGGACCCTTTTGAGAGAAAGCATCTCAAAACCATCTGTTGTTCTTAACTGCCTAATGCTGGCCCAGTGGAGTCTGGGGTTTAGAAGTCAGACAAACAGACAAACCAATTGAAATGCTTCTCAGCTAGTTACTAATTCCTCTGTACCTCAGTTTTCTCACAAGGCACTAGGGATAATAACGCATATCTTACAGACTTGTACTGTGGAATAATGGGCTCAGGGTGGAAAAACCCACTTTGAACAAAGAGCAATTCTTCTTAGCTGATGAGGTAGGAGGGGCTGTGCATGGGTGGGTTCCCCCTGTGGCAGAAGTGTTGAAACCCCCCGCTTGCTCAAATCTTCCTTCCAAACACATTCTCTGGGACCTTCCAGAGAGTACATCCTTTGGGTGTCTACACATTCTGGGATGACTGTAGAGCCACAAGAAATGGGCTCTCTCCCCTTAGAGCACTAAGATCTGAAAGAGGACTATACCAGTAATAATAGCTAAAATCACCTCTGCTTATTAAGAGACTACTATTTACCCAGCACAGTGCATGCTTAATATTTCTGTTATTCCACTTAATCTTAAAGGCGGTATCATCACTCCCATATTACAGATCAAGAAACTGAGACCAGAAATAAAATATCGTACTCCATGGCACAGCTGATCAGTGGCAGAACCGAAAACCCACTCTGTTTAATCATTAAAGAACAAAAATGTCTGTCCACTAAAAGGTTAGCTATGCGTTGGTTTCAGGATCCAATCTGGTCAATGTGTGTAAGCACTAAATCACTAAAGAGAATTCTTGAACATTGTAGGGAATTCTGTTTCCCTTTCTTAGATAGATGGAAACCCTGTGGTCCTCTGCGAGAGATCACAAGAGGCCACGGGAGCTAAAGGAAGATTTCTGAACATGAAGTTGTACAGCGAGGCTTGGGGAACACCCCATAAAGGGCCTAGAAGAGTCTCTCCAAGTATCTCTTCCCTCGTTTTCTAGTTCTCACTGGGAACACCCTATAAAGGGCCTAGAAGAGTCTCTCAAAGTATCTCTTCCCTTGTTTTCTAGCTCTCACCAAAGTGACCACAGAGTTTTTCCAAATATCACATTCATTTTAAACAGGCCACAACCTTTCAGGTTGCAAAGTCATCTGCACACCTTTTTAAGATGATGGTAAGTGATCTGCAATCAGCATCTTTGAGAAAAACCATTCTGAGAAATTGCAAAGCAATAAAACAAACTCCAAAGAGTGCACGTTCCCTGTTTTGTTGCTCCACAGTATGTTTTATCATGTAGACTTCTGCTTCCCCAAAATACCTAAGAACAAACAAACATATTACCTTTTTCTTTTGCTCAGCCAGTGCAGAGGTTTTTCCTCACCCCAGATGTTTCAAGAGAAATGAAAACGAGAAAAAAACCTTCTCTATGAGGAATGCAGAGATCTGAAAGAAAAGAGGTAGAATTCCAGCTCTCTCTGGAGCACCCCCTCCATACACACACTCCCTCCACACATCTTGCATCTTTGCAGCTCTCTGCAGGGCGAGCTCCGGCTTAAATAAATCAAGAAATAAACACACACCTGCACACACATCTGAACAGGCCACGGCTGCTTTGCCTTTCAGCCTGGAAGGCAAGCCCAGAGCTGCAGATCTGGGAGAGGCTGAGCTGGTCTGGAAGCCGCAGCTGTCTGCCCCAGCCCTGCCCTGTTCGGAGCTAAGAGATAAAAGGATGTGCTCAAGTAATGGGCTGCGGTCACATGACTGCTTCCAAGGGGACCAGGCCGCTGTTTGCAAAAATAATCTGCATCAGTACAAAGTATAAAAGAACGTTGGTAAATAAGGGCAGAAAAGCATTCAATGGCTGACTCTTTAGGTCAACCAAGGATGATTTTTAGGAAACATTACAGTAACCTGGGTACAATTAAGAGAAGGAAGTAGGAACACGAAACATTCCTCTCTAGGACTTGAAAAGGCATGGGTTTAAGGGAGCAGCCATTGGGTGCTGGGCTGCAAATTTATTTATATGACATTTTTATTCCTCTAGCTATTCAATTATAATGGCTGCTTGATGGAGAACCCATCTGTGAAAGGGAGACTCACCTACGTCCATCAGCAGGAAGGAAAAGGAAAGTTGACCTGTAATTTTGCTGAGTTTGAGAAGGAAAAAGAGGAAGACACTTGAAAAATCGAAGTGCCGATGTCGGTACTGGATGCCACCACCACGGTTCTGCTGTCTTATGAGACAATCCAGGGGTGATCTTGTTCCCAGAGTCTCACACTGACTACAGCTGCACTGACAGCAATTTCCCACCCAAACTCTTCCTAGCTGGTTATACAACATATGGCCTTAGGAAGCGAGAGCTAGGATTTCAAGGACTCCAGCCATAATGATTTCATAACCCCACCCAAACTGCTCTTTAGCCAATTCCTTTCTGCAATTGAGGGCCACAGGAGATCCAGCAAAGTGGTTACCTAGCTTGCTATTTAATCTAATGGAGTCACTTTAAAAATAACTGGAAAGGCAGCTCTGGGCTTCTCTACTCCTATTAGCATATTAAATATTATCAGAGGACCTCATTATGAGACAATGCAACCGTACAGGTTTCCATGGCAGGGAATCCAAGACTAGGACCTGACAAGGCTGTCACACACATTGTAAATGATAGCATAATTGCCCAGGCTCTCGAAACATAGTGGACAACGTCGAAATATGGCTGCGTTTCCAGCCAAAATGCCTATTCAATCCACAGTGATTAAATGATGGCTATGTCTAGATACAGTTGTTCAAATGTCACCTCCTCTGTGTGACGTCTTTCCTGAATCACCAAAGGGGAGTTAGTCACTCTGTCTTCTGGCACTCAAAGCCATGTGTGTGTGTCCAATTACAGAACTTCCCAAAGTGCACTAGAATTTGTCCTTTTACATATGCAATCCTGAAGGGAAAGGATCCGTTTCATTCCTCTTGGCATTCCCAGCATCACATGCATAAGAGGCACTCACCAATATTTGTTGAATCACAGAAAGAAAGGAGAGAATGAACTCATAATTTAGGTGGTTATTTTAACGGCCAGATTCTGGACCATGAATTGGATTGCCTGTGCCCTTTATGTGATTTGTCTCAAATTAAGAATCTGCTTAAAACTTACCTGGCAGGGGAGACACCATGATCAAGAATCTGCTTAAAATGAAGAATGTCATGGTATTTTTCCACTGTACAAACACTGCTAAAATGCTACTTTGAGCACCACAGAGAGTCCTATAGCCAGCCTCCAATTTGTTAAATGAACCAGCACTGATGTATGTGAATAAATCACAATAATGATAGTAACATTTATTGAGCCCTTACTGTGTTCTACGCACTTGTTAATTTTACATGTGTTCATCTTATTTAGCTCACACACCATCCTATGAGGTATATACTATTATTATCCCCATTTGAGCATTAGGAACTATATAGCCCAAGGTCAAACAGCAAATGAGTGGCAGACCTGGGATTTGAACCCAGGCACTTTGACTTTAGAACCCCTACTTATAATCATTACACCATACTGCCTCAGTCAGCACCTTGTATGTTTGCAAAATGAAGATTGCAGCCTCTACTCACACGCTCTCTGGCTTTCCTCCAGCTAAGCAAGGATGTGTTCTCCTAGCCTGAAAAAACAGAAAAAATAAGGGCAAAGTAATATTAACAGTTCCAAACTCACTCATTAACAGAATTATACCTCTAGCAGTCAAGGTTGGTCAATTTATCTCACAATAGACACATCACCATATGAAAATAACCAATATTAAAGATGAGAGCTCAATATCCCCATTCCCCAGACAAAGCCATAACAAACCAAATCATCCTTAACTAAGATACCTTGTGCTCCTCCATTCAATTCAACATACTTTTATTGAGCACCCCCTATGTGGTAGGCACTGTGCTATCAGAAATTATAATAAAAAGAAAAATTAAGGGCTGACCGAGTGGTCCAGTTGGTTAAGAGTTGGCTTGGGAGCGCGTGCTCTGAGCAGCAGGGCCACTGGTTCAGTTCCCACATGAGGGTCGGTGACACTGCCCTCTACAACTAAGATGGTGAACAACAGCTCGACCTGGAGCTGGGCTGTCGTGAGTCGCCGGCGACGGCGTAGGCTGTAATGGGGCTGCAATGGGCTGCTGTAAGCTACTGTGAGTGGCTGGCAGCCAGCGTGAGCGGCCAGCAGCTGGCGTGAGCTGCTGTGAGCTTTCATGAGCCACCGTGAGCAGCCGTCCAATGGCCGGCAAGCGACTGCCTCAGCTGGGAAGAGTGCAATGATAATACCAACATGGGCCAGTGAAGCAATGTCCTCCACAACTAGACTGAAGAACAAAAGGACAGCAACTTGTCTGTTCCCCTTCCCCAATTCCCCAACGCTGTTCCCATCCCCCAATTCCCCAAAAAAATCTTTAAAAAAATAAAAATAAATGTAAAATTGCAAAGAAGTACATGTATCAGGAGAGTGAGTCAGGAGGTCAAGCAAAAAGGCTTCTCTGAGAAAATAACCTTTGAACTGACATCTGAAAGAACACAGATTAATCTGGTGAAGGTGTTGATAGGGGGATAGAGTCAAGCATAAACTTCTGCTGAGGCTCAGTGACCTGGAGTAGATAAGTGGGGTCCATGATCTGGGTTCCAGAGATGCCATTTACTATTGGAGTCCAGAAGTATATCAGCTTGGCCAGGGCAAGTTAGGGAATGTTTCATAGGGGATAAAAGGTGGGGAAAGGCATTTCAGGGAACATGGGAGCATGTTATATTTGCATAATGTTTCCTGAGACTGGGGGATAGAGGGTGTATAGAGAGGAGGGTGGGGACAGGAACCTGGCGAGGTAGGTTGGTGCCAACTGTGATCTTTCTTGTAAATCGTAACAAAGAATTCAGACTTTAACCCGTCAGTAGGGGATTGCAATTTCAAATGCTTACATGGTCCAGGGCAAATAAGATACATGAATAAATCAGCCCGGGTGGAAATGATGGGACATTTTAGAGAATTTCTGTCTAAATGAGGCAGCTGCTACTTACTGGCAGGTCCCTCTTAGGCTGCCATCCAGAAATCCTGGCCCAGTGCTGCCCAATGTAACTTTTCAAGAGAAGATGAACATGTTTTTATGTAAAATCTTCCTATTTTTAAATGTGAGTATATTTCTGCAAATTTAAGATGCTGTTGGTTACAAGGTATGTCATTATTTTATGTACAAATAAGAAAGAAAAAAGCCACCCATCAAACTATGATACTCCATCGACTTTAAGAAACATTCCAATTTCAGAGGTGCTAAAAAGTGAAAAAAATGTGCATCTTAGAATCAATGAAATACGGTCATTCTCATTTTCACAAAACACTGTATAGACTCCATGGATTTGGTATGAGACTGCCAGATTGCAAACTCTGTTTGGGTGAAGGGCAGCCTGAGAGTAATCTGATTAGATTCAAGCTTTAGGAAGATCACGCTGAGGGGTCAGATGGTGATGAACTGGGAAAAAGCCAGCCATAGGAAGATCAATGAGGAATCTCCTGCTACAATCCAGGAGATAGGTATAAGGGCAGAATTACAGCCCTGGCAGTGGGATGGAGGGGCAGGTGGGAGGCAAATGTGAAAACCTTTAAGGCAGCGGTTCTCAACCTTCCTAATGCCGCGACTTAATACAGTTCCTTATGTTGTGGTGACCCCCAACCATAAAATTATTTTCGTTGCTACTCTATAACCGTAATTTTGCTACTGTTATGAATCATAATGTAAATATCTTTTTGTTTCCCGATGGTGTTAGGCGACCCCTGTGAAAGGGTCGTTCGACCCCCAAAGGGGTTGCAACCCACAGGTTGAGAACCGCTGCTTTAAAGTAATAAACCCCACAGGTCCCAGCTGGATATGGGGAGCAAGAGAGACGGAGGCATCAAGAATGATTCCAAGGTTTCTAGTCTAGAATACTGGATGTATTCATCACTTATTTAACACTACTTACTGGGTGTCTACCATGTGACAGGCACTATGCTGGGTGCTATGGGTATAACAATGGACATGGTCCCTGCCCTCTTGTCATTTACAGTCTGGTAGGTGATGCCATTAGAGCATTAACAGGTACAGGGTAGGACACCAAGGGGGGAAAGTGTGTTTATGGCACTAAAATGTCCCATAGGCAGTAGAAGCCTGCGTTTAGAACCCAAGAAATAAACCAAGTCTGCAGATTCTGATTAAAGAGTTCATTAGGGTATCGATAACAGCTGAAGTGATTAGAGAAGCTAAAATAGCCAGGAAGAGCTTGTAGAGTAAGGAGGTAATAGGGGCAAAAGCAGAGCCCTAAGGAATAGAGACATTTAGAGGGAATGAGGAGGAGGAAGGGGCAAACAAAGGAGACTAAACAGGAGAAATCTGGAAAGGAAGAGGCCCAGGACAGATGGGTGTCTGTAACCCACGGGAGACAGGTATTATCACATAATCTAATATATCTTCTTCATCTATAATTACTACATAGAAGTAATTTACCTTGGCAATGTACAATTTAGATTTTCAGAGTTACAGGTATTTTGCATGAATTCCAAATCCACTTATCAGAACTGCTTCTTAGTTAGAGACTTGTGATATTTTTAAATGTTGTCACAATCTGTTCCTTTAGCTTGTATGGGCTTGCGTTTTGCCTGTATCTCAGTTTGACATCTAGCATGAATCAATGGCAGAGCAATGGTAATTCCTTCTGCGGAAGCTGTAACATGCCATTCCAAGACAAAAGCAAAACAAGATTATACATTTATGAAACTCCCTCTCATACCAAAACACTGGGAATTGGGCAAAACTGATCCAGGGCCGGCCAAGTGGCACATTGGTTAAGAACTGGCTTGGGATGCCAGAGGGCCCCAGTTCAGATCCCACATATGAGGGCCAGTGACACTGCCCTCTACAGCTAAGATGCTGAACAACAGCTCAACCTGGAGCTGGGCTGCTATGAGTCGCCGGCGACGGCGTAGGCTGCAGCCCCTGTGGCAGTGGGTTGCCATGGGCTACCATATGTAGCCAGCAGCCAGCGAGAGCGGCCAGCAGCCACAGTGAGCGGCCATCCAGAAGCCGGCAACTGATCTGCCTAGCCCAGGAAGAGCGTAATGATGGTGCCAACTTGGGCCAGTGAAGCAACATCCTCCACAACTAGACTGAAGAACAAAATGACAGCAACTTGTCTGTTCCCCTTCCCCCAATTCCCCAGCGCAATTCCCCAGCGCTGTTCCCATCCCCCCAATTCCCCAATAAAAATCCTTAAAAAAAACTGATCTAGGCAAGACCACCATGAGGTTCTTGAGCTCTGTAACAGGTGAGCCTATCACATGGCAAGATATTCGGGTCCTTTGGACTTGTTCAGAAAGACCCTTCATTTTACAGTGGAGGTAACCAGGCCCAGAGAGGTTAGGTGACTCCCCAATATCACAGTCTTAGGACTTGGGGGCCAGTACTCTTTCCATTACATAAAGGTGACCCAATTCCACCCTATAAAGAGAGCTCTAATATAATCTATGTTACAGTATGATTAACTCCATACACAAAATATAAAGTCCACAAGACATGGCCAAACAACTAAACAGAGGAAGAAGGTTAACTTTCAAACACGGTTCTGTGCCCACCCAGATTTCATTCAATTCATCTTCTTTTAAGAGTACTTACCCTGCCAAGTTTTACCAGTTCCACACAGGCTCAAGGAAAATAAACTGCTAGATCTTCAGTGTGTTGGTTGTTAAATCTTTCAGCCTAACCTGCAGGCTCAGGTCTCCATCCTCACACTAACAGGTCTTACTTAAAGAGGATCCCTACCTCTGGCAGATGCTAAAATGATTGTTTCATAGGTTGCCTTGGCAACCCCATGATGTCATAAACAGATATGACACTACCTGCCAACAGAATGTGAACAACAGAAACCATGTGAGAACCACTTCCTGCTTATTGGAAAGGGAGGTTCCAGGTTCATCAAGGTTTCTTTTTGTCACCACTGTCTCCCTACCACCCATTTTTGTATCCATTAACATTGAAAACAAAGGACAGTTGGTTTCTTGGCGGAATGTTAAAATTATTAGCTAAAATAAGGCCTGGGAAAGAGCCATGGCTTTCTTTTTAAAACCCCTGCTACTGCTGCCTCAGGTGACTAAAGTGAAGCCTTTGGAAGAGTTTTTTGAGAATTTTCTTTAAAAGCACTTATTCTTGTCTTGGTTTCATTCATATATTCATTCAACAAGTATTTGTCGAGCATCTATTGTGTGCCAGGCATTGTTCTAGTCCCTGGGGATACACCAGTTAACAAAACTGGCAAAGTCCCTTCCCTCATGAAGTTTATAGCCTAGTGGGGAAAATAAATAATAAAATAATCATAAAAATAAATGTAGGGCCGGCTGAGCAGTACGTTGGTTAAGAGTTGGCTTGGGACGCCAGCTCTGAGCAGCAGGGCCCCAGTTCGGATCCCACATGAGGATCAGTGACACTGCCCTCTGCAGCTAAGATGGTGAACAACAGCTCGACCTGGAGCTGGGCTGCCGTGAGTCGCTGGCGACGGCGTAGGCTGTAGTGGGGCTGCAATGGGCTGCCATAAGCTACCGTGAGCGGCTGGCAGCCAGCGTGAGCTGCTGTGAGCTTTCATGAGCTGCCATGAGTGGCTGTCCAATGGCCAGCAAGCGAATGCCTCAGCTGGGAAGAGCGCAATGATAATACCAACATGGGCCAGCGAAGCAACGTCCTCCACAGCTAGACTGAAGAACAAAAGGACAGCAACTTGTCTGTTCCCCTTCCCCGATTCCCCAATGCTGTTCTCCTCCCCCAATTCCCCCAAAAAAATCTTTAAAAAAATAAAAATAAATGCAAAATTGCAAAGAAGTACACATATCAGGTGAGTGAGTCAGGAGGTCAAGAAAAAAGGCTTCTCTGAGAAAATAACCTTTGAACTGACATCTGAAAGAACACAGATTAATCTGGTAAAGGTGTTGATAGGGGGATAGAGTCAAGTATAAACTTCTGTTGAGTCTCAGTGACCTGGAGTAGATAAGTGGGGTCCATGATCTGGGGACTTTCAAAGGAGAATCCAGGGCTTAATAAATAAAAGGTGTGATCAAAAAATACAGTGAATGTTTACATTTAAAAATAAATAAGTAAATAAATAAATAAAGTAAAAGACACATTGCCATTAATCTCCCTCAAAATACTCCCCCTTGCTTTGAACACACTTATCCCATCATTCTTGCCACTTTCTGAAGCAGTTCTGGAAGTCCTGATTAGTGAGTGTCTTTAGTTGCGCTGTTGTGGCTGCCTCGATGTCCTGAATCGATTCAAAATGTTTTCCTTTCATGGTCATTTTGACTCTGGGGAAGAGCCAGAAGTTGCACGGTGCCAGATCCAGTGAATAAGGTGGATGAAGACACACTGTAATGTTTTTATTTGACAGAAATTGCTATACCAGAAATAATATGTGACATGGAGCCTTTCTGTTGTGATCAAAACATATGGTGAATGCTGCTGCTGAATGTCATCCAATGGAAAGGCAGGGATCTTCAATATGGGAAGCAGCACATTGAACCTTAGTAACAGTGTGTGACAAGTTTCAACTTGTTCGGTGCAGTCAGTTGGGTGTCAGCTACGGTTGAGAGAACGTGTGTTTTAAATTGTGCCATAAATCATCCTCCATCATGACAATGCTCCATGGCACACATCGCTTCTGGTACAGAAATTTCTGTCAAATAAAAACATTACGGTGTGTCCTCATCCACCTTATTCACCAGATCTGTCACCATGTGCCTTCTGGCTCTTCCCCAAAGTCAAAATGATTCAGGACATCGAGGCAGCCATGACAGCGCAACTAAAGACACTCACTAAACAGGACTTCCAGAACTGCTTCAGAAAGTGGCAAGAATAATGGGATAAGTGTGTTCAAAGCGAGGGGGAGTGTTTTAGGGAGATTAATGGCAATGTGTCTTCTACTGTAATAAATTTGTTTTTACTTAAACATTTACCATATTGTTTGATCACACCTCGTAGATCTTAGTTTACTAAAGCTGAAGTTAAGTATTTTCAACAATATTCCAAACAGTGCACGATCTGTGTGTCTCGTTTATATAAAACTCTCTAAAACAGTCCTTCTCAAACTTTAACGTGTTTATAAATCATCTGGGGGACTTGTTAAAAACACAGATTCTTGGGTCTAGTCCCTAGAGGTTCTGATTCAGTCAGTCTGGAGTGGTGCTCATGAATCTATATTTCTAATAAGCTCCAAGTGATGGTGAAGAATACTTTGAGTGGCACTGCTCTACAACACAGTATGACTTTTGTTTAAATCTCTATTTCTTTTTCAACATATTTTTTCATGACTTTTAAAGGCAAGGTTTATTCTACAATTTTCTTGTGATGTTTTTGGTCAATTTAGTAGTATCACCAGAACAAAATAATGCTGTGATATATTAACAGAACAATGCCATAAGCTCAAGGTTTCAAATATTTGGAAAGAACGAGAGAAATGACAATTATAAGCAAACTGAGGTGTCAGTAATATAATGAAACTTCACTAATTTACCCCAGTGAGGTGGACTGTCATTGTTACTTACTGAAAAATAATATTTACAAAGCAGTTTCAAGGAAACATAATATAAATTAACCTGATGTAACTAAGGCCAAGGAATCTCTATATGTTTAATGACTCTTTTACTTAAACAGGTTGATGAGAGCTATGTGTAATGAACACTCATATTATGAATGAAGCTCTGGATAGTATGTGAGATAAAAATAACCTCCCGTTTTCGGTCTCTGTTTCTTACTGCAGAACACAATTCCTGCTGATCTGCCATGTTCCTGCTGCTGTGGCTATGTGAAAACGATACCATGAAACAAGTTGGTAAGAGAGCCAAGATTTCTCTGGATTGTTTTTCTTGGGAAGATTGTGAAGTTAATATAGGGCCTAGAACAAACTATTGTTATTTTTAAAAATTAAAAATGAAATCTTCTGTGCATAGAAGAGTAGGAGGATTAGGAAAGAGGACCAAGAGTAAGTTCTTGAAATTTCAAGGAAATATCAGCTGTGCCGCTTAAAACCTAGGGACTTTAGGCAACTCACATAACTTCTCTGAGCCACAGTTTTCTCATTTAAGAAATGGGGGTAATAATATATAAATAGAATAATCTAAGTGGAAAATTCTTCAAAAACTATAAAGTGCTAAACAAATACTAACTACCATTTCTAGGAGAGGCCTACATTTTCCAAATGGATACACATTCTATAGAAGAAATGTGGTCTGGAGAAAAAGGCTCTTTCCTTTCCGTCTGGCCGCTCCCATCAGGTAAGCCAAGGTGGGCGCTTACAAGTACATCCAAGAGCTATGGAGGAAGAAGCAGTTTGATGTAATGCAGTTTCCTCTCAGGGTGCGCTGCTGGCAGTACTGCCAACTCTCTGCGCTCCACAGGGCCCACCTCGCCCCACCCCACCTGGCCGATAAAGCACGCAAGCTGGGATACAAGGCCAAGCAAAGTTATGTCATATATCAGATTCGTATGCACCGTTGTGGCCGCAAACGCCCAGTTCCTAAAGGTGTGACCTATGGCTAGCCTGTCCATCACAGTGTTAACAAGCAAAAGTTTGCTCGAAGGCCTCAGTCTGTTGCCAAGGAGTGAGCTGGACGCCACTGTGGGGCTCTGAGAGTCCCGAACTCTTACTGGGGTGGTGAAGATTCCACGTACAAATTCTTTGAGGTTATTCTCACTGATCCATTCCACAAAGCTATCGCACAGAATCCTGACACCCAGTGGATCACCAAACCAGTCCATACGCACAGGGAGATGTGAGGGCTGACATCTGCAGGCTGCAAGAGCCGTGGCCTTGGAAAGGGCCACAAGGTCCACCATACTATTGGTGGTTCTCACCGTGCAGCTTGGAGAAGACGCAATACTCTCCAGCTCCACCGTTACCACTAATATAAATAATGTTTGTAAAATTCTTACCTAATAAACAATTTAGGTCATGTTTGCTTAAAAGTGTTCTTTAATTTGTCTATTAAAGCTAGGTGTCTGCAGACTGCTTCATGAATGCATTGTCAAATTATGAGAGTTAAAGTGCAATAATGTTTGAAGACAAAATGATGGTGTATCTTGTTTCTCATAAGACAAATACGTTTGTCTTTGCTTTATCTTATTAGGGAGTTGATATGTCAGTGTTTAAAATGCTGTGTGGTGTAACAGGTATAAAATAAATTCTGTGAAAGGAGTGCAGAACTAGCCATGTAGATTTGTTGGTGCATGTGATGAAACCTACAGCTTTATTGGGGTAACGCAGTGCTCTGTTAGTTTACTCTCAAGGGGCTTTTGTATGGAATTTGGCAAGGACAAACATTGTAAATTGAATTTTGCTTGGAAATTGTGAAGGACATCCTAATCCATTCTCAGGATCATGCAGAAAAATGCAAGTTGACTATGGGGCTCACATTTTTAGATTTAACTCAACATTCTGTTTATATAATTGCTGGTTCTGAAAGAAAAGTTTAAAAGAATGCCACCATTACTAGGAAAATTGAACAATCATGTTGCAAGGGGGTTCTCTTACAAATGAAACAAATCCTGGTTAACCTAAAGGAAGCTGGCTTGGTCTCCACAACACTATTGAAGTTCACAAAAGGTGGAGGCTCCTGGTTCAATCCCATGTCTCCACGGCTCTGTAGAATACTGAATTTCATGTAAAGTAATAATGGTAATTACACTGGTATATACTGAAACTGAAGGAAACTGAACATAAAGAATGAGAATTATTAGCCTTAAGGTCGAAATGTTAATTTGTGACCATTATGAACCCTCTAGCCACCTAAGGGGAAAACTGGTTGGCTTTATTTAAAAGTACTTCATTGGCTCAGTGTAGTCAGTATTAAAAGTTATCTTGGGTCAACCTACGTTATTCATTATTCCCATAAGGCTACTGAGAAAAGTTACATAGTTGATGTCAATACAAGTTCACGGTTTCCAATCTAACCTTATGCATTGTCTAGTTATTTTTTTCATCCCTACTCAAAACTACCCTCAAAATCCTTACCTTCTACAAAATTCCTAGGCCGTCAGTTGTGCCCACCTTACTGTTAAAGTATAGACTAGGCTCCTGTTTCCCAGAGTGAATTAGTGTAGGAAATACAGAAGAGGAATTGCCCTAATTTCCAATTCTGGTTTTGCTGACTTAAGAGGAGGTAGTTTGATTCCAAAATCTAACTGCTGGTTTCCTTGAACCAATTTTTCTATTTTCTTCTGGGGTCTTAAAAGGCTCAGTTAAATGATTTCCAGAAAACATGTAGCAGACTCATAAAACCTCGAGACCTAAATTCCTTTCCACTCAAAAATCTTAAGCCATCTATTTTGTGCGTAGAGGTTGTTCAACTAAAGTAATAAAGTCTATTAAACTAAAGAGAAAGAAAGAATGAAATGTGGTCTGGCCTGTGGGTTAGGATGTGCCTGGGAACACAATAGAATGTGGTTCTAGAGTCAGATTACTTGGGACTATATTTTAGCTGCACCACTTCCGGCTGTGTGAGCTTGGGAAAATCACATAACCTCTCTGTTCCTATTCCTTAGAAAACCAGAATAGTGGGCCGGCCAAATGGCACGATGGTTAAGAGCTGGCTTGGGATGCCAGAGGGCCCCGGTTTGGATCCCACATATGAGGGCCAGTGACACTGCCCTCCACAGTTAAGATGCTGAACAACAGCTCAACCTGGAGCTGGGCTGCCGTGAGTTGCCGGCAACGGGGTAGGCTGCAGCCCCTGCTGCAGTGGGTTGCCATGGGCTACCGTGTGTAGCCAGCAGCCAGCGTGAGTGGCCAGCAGCCGCTGTGAGCGGCCGTCCAGAAGCCGGCGACTGATCTGCCTCGCCCGGGAAGAGCGCAATGATGGTGCCAACTTGGGCCAGTGAAGCAACGTCCTCCACAACTAGACTGAAGAACAAAAGGACAGCAACTTGTCTGTTCCCCTTCCCCCAATTCCCCAATAAAAACCTTTAAAAAAAAACCAGAATAGTAATAGTACCTACCATACTGGGTTGATAGAAGGAGTGAGTTAATACATATTGTGGCAGCCACTGATAGTTGCCTAACCAACATCCATTCTTCCTTTCTTCCTTACCAATAAAACCCCAATTTTGTTGTAGGTGGCAATGGACTCAGCCAAAAATTCATTTGCTAGGTTCCCTTGCAGTTAGGGGTGGTCATGGAGCGCAGTTCTGGCCAATGAGAGAGATATAAGCAGAAATCCACTGGCCGAGGCTTCCAGAAAAGCTATTGGGTTGTCGGAAAAGTCACGATGCATTTTTGCAACGAAAAACATAGAAAAAATATGTCATGACTTTTCCCAATATTTTCCTGATAAAAATGACAGACTCAGTTGTCATGGGCCCTTTCCTCTTTGTCCTTCCCCCAGTCTGCCTGGAACCCAAACACAATGCCCGGAGGAGGATTGTGTTTGCACCCTCTTGAGTGCATTAGGAAGAGACCCTCACACTGGGAATGACAATGCAGAAATATGGAAGGGGGAACCTGAGACATAAGTGACAACATGAAGCTGCTTCCTTCCTGACTTCATACTACCAGTTGGGAGATAAAACCCAACCCTCTGTGTTAGGTCTCTGCTATTTCATTTACCTTATTACATGCAGTCAAACACATTCTCTAACCAATACCCTTGTAACACAATTTGAGTGCCTGGCTCATAGCTAGTATTCAATGTTAGCTATTACTATTATTATTTGCCCTGTATTCTGGTGCCTAACCAAGTGGCTAGCAAGTATTCCCTTCACTTCCTTGCAACAGTACTCCAATTTTCCTCTTTGAAATCGACCCTCTCCCTATTCTCAGCCCTATGGTTTGCAGGGGATTGCCACCTCCTCCCCATGTGAGCCCTGATTGGCTTAAGCCAATTAGCATGAGCCCACTTCCCAAGCAACAGTGACTGTCCAGGGTTGGGCACATAACTCAGGCCTACGGCAGTTAGCACATCCTCTTCTAAAGGAAGTGTTCAAGTGGGCACACAGCTAAAGACAGGCAATATGAGTGAATCTCAGGGCTCCTGGGGACAGCACTGGACACAGGCTCACTCTTCTTCCCAAGGGTGATGCTCTGGGCAAGGCTGTCACCATGAGGAGAGCCAGTCTGGGGGGTTCAACTGATACATGGAGAAGGGCAGAACAAGAGAAAGGCAGGGAAATGGCTGGAGCCCTCCATCGTAAATTACTGGATGCAATTTTACCTTTGGAATTTTCACGTCAGATTCATTTGAGACCGGTTTTGCTAACACGGTTTGGGCTGAATCCTCTGTCACTGGCAACCACAAGATTCCTTCTGGTACTGTTAGATGAAAAAAAAATACTGTAATGTAAGGATTACACACCTCGAGGGGAATTTTCCAAACTCTGGTCTAGTGTGTCAATTTAATCAAACCTATAGTCAAGTACAATATAAATGCATACCCAAATCACCTTTCCAGAGAAAATGACAGCAATGAAATCTATAATTTGCAATTGTGTAAAGTCATTCAAATTTCTATTCAAAAGAGAAAAACACAGCCAGTTGAAAGTATTTTTTGTTTTTTATAAACACATCCAGGAAAACTCCTTTAAGAATAGACATGCATCTGGGTTTTAGAATAAACGTTGGACCCAGAGGCAGACAATGGAAACCTATGACTAACACTAAAATAATATTCACAGTTGTCATGGCAGCCTGCTCATTCTGCACAAAATAGAACCCACTGCATTTTAACAGGATTTAGCAGAGGAAAGCTGCTAGCCTGCAGACAGCCTCTAACTGAGTTAAACAACCTACTAATTAGTTTTGGTTTTATTATTATATATATAGGCTTCAGACTATACACTAAAATCACAAATACTTAAAATCACTAATAAAGTATATAATATGATTTTTGTTTAATACCTGCACCACTCTTGAAATCTTCTCATCAGACTATTGGAATAGTTGAATCCACTTGTAAATCTAAAGAAGACATTAATAAGTGTTGGGAAAAGGGGGGAGTAGCCAATTTCATTTCTGTTACCGATCAGCATTGGCTAGATAGCTGCTGCTATAAGACATTTCCTTTTAAGTGCGGTTCTATAGGAGCAGGGAATAGCCAAATTATTCTGTGTTCAGTTACATAGTCCCAGAGGAGTGACTTTTTAAAACTAGAGTCTCCTTGGCTATTATAAATAGTGCTGCAATGAACATAGGGATGCATGTATCTTTTCGAATTATCTTTTTGTGTTTTGGATTTCTTCAGATAAATATCCAGAAGTGGAATTGCTGGGTCATAAGGTAGTTCTACTTTTAATTTTTTTGAGGAGCCTCCATTGTGTTTTCCATAGTGGCTGCACCAGTTTGCAATCCCACCAACAGTGCACAAGGGTTCCCTTTTCCTATTTACAACAGCCATGGAAGCAACCTAAGTGGGGGACTCTCAAAATGGTACATGTTACATGTCACTGAGTTGGCTGGGCTCCGACTCCTGCAAGAGCAGGTGTAGGGCTGGGTTGCAAAAGCAATGCAGACAATTCATCTAGGGTGGGATTTCTCAACCATGTCGCTATCAACATTTGAGACCAGGTAATTTTTTGTTGTGGGTGCTGTCCTGTGCACTGCAGGATGTTTCACCCCACCGCTGGTCTCTACTCACTACATGCCGATAGCACACCAACCCCCCGCCCCCAGTCATGACAACCAAAAGTGTCTGCAGACATTGCCGAATAGCCCCCAAGATTTTATCCTCCCAGGGATATTTTGGGTTGTCACAACTGTGGGAGAGGTGCTATGGGCATCTAGTGAGCACAGGCCAGGGACGCTGAGAAACATTCCACAATATACAGGACAGCTCCCCACAACAGATACCCAGTCCCAAATGTCAACAGGGCTGTGGTCAAGAAGCCCCGATCTAGAGGAAGAGCCTGGATCTAGATCTATGAGGGCACAGGTAGGTGAGCAGATGTGGGGCGTACTTGTGAAAGTTCTCTTCTGATTGCTTCCATCTTTCACTGAAACAAGGAAGCAAGTTCATCAGTTGTAAGTAAGGCTGGGGAAGGAGATACACGAAGCCTAGGGAGAGAAATTATGAAACTGTCCTACAGGGGAGGTGGACAATGAATGGACAGGGGAAGTGCGCACAATGTGGGGCCACATCAAGGGCTCACTTGATTAAGGTAAGTAGTCAAGAATTGAATGTGAAACTAGTCAGTCAGAATGTGTGTTCTTCCTGGGGCCATATTTAGGGGGGAAAAGGAAGAGAGTTGGATTTAAGAGACTGTGGTTTTGCCAGCAAGTACAAGCAACAAAAGGGCAAACAAGTGATAAAAATGGCAGAACTTCAGCTGGCTAAGAAGACAGAGAGATGTATGCAACTATGAAAAGGTAAGTGGGCAAAAAAGGAACAAATATCCACTACAATAGACTAGTTTCAAATGTTTTGAACGTGATGAGCCGCAAAAGGGGAAAAATAAGGTGAGCTCTGTCATACTAAGATAACGGCTCACTTTTCTTCTTAAATACTTGAATACTCATTAGATGTCGTAGTACAATTGTTTCTAAATGAAATCAAGTCAACTGAGCTTCCTATATCAGCTCAGTATTTGGGGCTGCAGTCTCTTCGGTTGAGCTACCCTCCAACAGCAAAGCCAACACTGAGAAAGCCACACTACACATCTAAGAAATCAGGATTAAAAAGCTTGAAGTGACTTTCGTCTTCATTTACTAGTTTGTTTGTGTATTTGTCTTATAGTTGTTGGATGCTTATGGACATACCTGGGAGTGACAGGCCTCACAAATCTGACTGAACAGACTGAAGTGCTGGGCAAAGCTGTGGCCATTTGAAGCTTTATCCATGACGCTGGTGGTTCCAAGGTGAAAATCATCAACAGTTGTTTCCGCAGGCTCTTGGTTCCTGCTGTTTGAGGATTTCATTTAAAAATTACAAAAGATGCAAAAGTATCCATTTCCTCACTGGCATGCATACAAAATACAACAAGAGACCAACGGCACTCTTACGGAAAAACGTAGCCTTCGTGGACACGGGCCTCCTGAAATCACTTCGGTAGCAGAAAACTGAAACCCAGCCCTGCACTCACTAGCAGAATGGTCTCAGGCAAGGCATTCAATATCTTCGGCTTCAACTTCTGCAGCTGAAAAATGGAGATAGTAATATTTACCATGGCTACCTCATAGGAATGTATGTAAGTGCTCTGTAAACCCCATTGCAGTTTACTAATTATAGAGATTGTGACTACGCCTTGACAGCAGTGAGGAGTGCAACAAAAGTCGCCCTCCCTGTCAGAATGGAGACAAGGAGCATGAGTTTTTCACTAAAGGCAGAAACCTGTGTTGCATGCATCAGAGGTGCACTAGCTTCTTTTCTACATGGAGGGTACGTGTGTGAACTTGGCTAAAGCTTGCGCGTGGTGAACCCACCTGCATAGCAAGGGAAGACAGAAAGCTGGAGGGAAAGCAAAGCATTCCCTAGAGACACAACCCAAACCACAACTGCTGATTGTAATTTTAGGCTCAATTCTTGACAGCCTTGTTTTGAACTGACAGGGCTTTGGAAACAACTGGGATATACTTATTTCTGAGCATCCTGGGCGTCACTACAGATTATTGACTAGCAGGAAGCATGGAGCTTTCATGAAGTCATCCTCTGCTGGTGGCTGTCCACTCATGGTCATCTCATGGGTCACCATCTAAGCACCCAGTGCACAAGAGACCTCTCAAAATGTATCAACGAAAAGGCATTCTGGAAGAGGGCCCATAATAAAGATTACAAGGAGCTAAGACCTAGGAAACCTGGTACCGGAGAACACAAGCACGAGCCGCAGGCCTGCCCTATTTCTGTGCAAAAACTTACATGGCAGATAACTGCCTCCATTTTCCCACCTGGAAAGTTGGGACAACATTCAGACCAAGGGGAAAGTTGGGGTGTCTAACCAACACATGCATTTCACAAAGGAGGACCCAGGCTTGGGAGGGGAACTGACCAGTTCAAGAATTCCACAGCTAGTGAGTAGCCAAGAGAGGACTAGAATCCAAATCATGACCCCCCCCCCCAGATTAGTACACCTTCCACACACCTGTTTCTTTCAGGGGCCTTCTAGGAAGACAGGAGTTGGCGGAAGGGCTTGCTTTCATACATTATTTCTCCATTATTCTGCTAGCTTCAGAGGAAGACGCCAGGGGAAAGCCTTCAGCCATGTCCAACACAGCACTTTAAGATGCCCCCAAATGATTTTCAGTGGGTTTTCAAGCTTGAGGATCGCATGCAATCCTAGGATGTTGACGAGGATCCATCCAGAAGCACTGCGGGGGGGAGGGGGGAATTAGCACTGACAATGAAAACCGAGACCACACAGGCGCCCTTTGTAATGAAAGGTCCCAGCACCTTATCGGGACCCCAATCCTGGAAGCATAGTCTCAAGGGTCCGCACTGGGTTTAATGCTCTGGGGTTACCGTTTTGGAATTCTTAATAACTTACGAACAAAGGGCCTGGCATTTTCATTTTACAGTGGGTCCCTCAAATCCTGCTTTACCTCCGCCCCCCAGCCGTTAAGGGATAGCTTGTCTACACAGCGCCTCCACTTGGGCCAGTGAAGCAACGTCCTCCACAACTAGACTGAAGAACAAAAGGACAGCAACTTGTCTGTTCCCCTTCCCCCAATTCCCCAATAAAAANCCCTCCCCCTCCCCCACCCCAGCCCAGACAAGTAGGAGCACACAAAAGTCCTGCAATGTTGAGTCCCTTTCGGGCTTTGGGAGTGGGAGAAGGCTGTGGAAAAGGTCAAGGGCGCGGTAACAGCCAATTCTTGGGCAAGAGGCCGACTGACCAGCAGCCTTTTCCAACCCTGGCAAAAATAAACGCCAATATAAAAATGCCACCCACCACCACCACCACCAAACCACCCCAGACCCCGCTCTGCCTAAATCTTTGGCTCCAAATGGTGCTCTTGTCCGCCCAGCTCCGGGCTCAAGGCTCGAAGCTGCCGGAAGCGGCTCGGTGTGTCCGTGGGGAAAATGGGGAAAGTGCGGGTCCCTCACCAGCTGAGGGAAGCTGCCAGAAGAAGCCGTGCACGGGGCATGGTCCGTTTCCGCCTGCCCGGCCGTCCTCACTAACGCCCCGGCTGAGGGAAAGTTTGGGGACCGGTGATTAGCGGGGCGGCGCTTTCGGCCAGGGGGCAACCCGGGTTCCGGCTTCGTTTTGATCACAGGTGGGACGAATCTGGAACGCAACGACAGCGAGCGTCCCAAACACCGGAGCCCGAGCCGGAGCCGGAGTCCGGACCCGGCCGCGAACACCGGATCTCACAAGCAAGACCCGGCCACGGCGGGGGTGGAGCTACGACAGAAGGGCGGGGTTTCAGTGAGGACGCTGTTTCTGACACGAGACTATAGTTAAATGAACGACGCCACCATATCGCGCAGAGGTTCCATAGTGTAGTGGTTATCACGTCTGCTTTACACGCAGAAGGTCCTGGGTTCGAGCCCCAGTGGAACCATGGCTGGGTAGCTGTTTTTTCACTTTTAATGGCTGTTGAGTTAGTTGTTCGGGTGAAAGGATGGGAAGCAAAGACAAACTGCTTTCCTTTCTCCCTTTTTTTAAAATTTTAGTTTATTTTTTGGAATGCTTTTGTCGCATAAATGTAATGACTGATACCCTCTCCGCTCATCCCGGCCGCCATTGCCCCAGCTGAAAAGCAGCAGAGGCGGCGGAAGCGGGGTAAGGGTGGGGCCCAGCGGGGTCTGAGTCTGAGGGCATCCTTGACCCACCCGGGCCCTACCCCCACCTCTCCTCCGCCACTCCGGGGTGGCCTCGGATAATCAGGCGCTGGGGGAAAGCAAGACCGCCTGGCGCGGCACTTTTCCTGCAAGCCAAGGCAGGCCGGCCGCTGAAGCCTCCAACCAAAATATGGCAATACTGCAGTTCTTTGATTGCAGTTCAGTTATTAAAGACATTGTCGTCGTCGTCGTCGTCGTTATTATCATCATTATTATTAAAGGTTTAATTGTTCATTAAACTTTAAAATACAGAGCAAAGAAAAAAATAGCCCTTTTGTTTTTAATACAGCAGTAGAGTTTGTGAATGAAAGAATATAAACGAACAAAGAAACAGGAACACACTCAGAGAACAGACCGATGGTTGCCAGGTGGGAGGGGGTTTTGGCTGGGTGAAAAAGGTGACGAGAGGAAGAAATACAAATTGGTAACTACAACATAGTGACGGGGATGTAAAGTACAGCATAGGGAATACAGTCAATAATATTGTAATAACTATGCATAGTGCCAGATGGGTACTAGACTTATCAGGGGATCACTTCATAAGTTATATAAATATCTAATCACTATGCTGTACACCTGAAGCTAATGTAAACTAATATTGAATGTCAACTGTATTTGAAAAATTAATAAATAAATTTAAAAATAATTAAAATTTGACAACTGGAAAAGAAGAATCCATACACAGTGCAGAATAAATGTCAGACTTGTAGACACCCAATAAATGTCAATTGAATAACATTTTTCTAGTTCCTGTCTGGTCTTCTTTACCAGTTCATTACACTTTTGTTTGGGGGGGAGGGGTATTATTATTTTTTTAATATTGGCCCTTTTCACCTTGGACAGGGAATGAAGAAAAGGTGCCTGGGACCCTGGTGGCTAAGGTGGAATAGTGGTGGCCAAGAACTAAAAAGGGAAGGGGAAACTCAGCCTTTTTCTCTGCATTTTTCCACATAATTTTGCTCATACAGTGTGTAAATTTTCACCCTTTTCTAACTCAAGAGTATGACACATGATTGTTCCTGTTATTACAGTGACTTCATTAACTTTATTCTTTTTATCATCTTAACCATTTTTAAGCATACAATTCAGTCATGTGAAGTATATTCACATTGTTGTGAAAAAGATCTCCAGAACTTTATGTATATATAAAGCTTACATAAAATATACAATTTTTAAAATATATATATAATTTATACAAAATTATACATACATATAATCTTATATGTATATATAATACATATAATATTAAAATTATATGTACATATAAAATTATATGTACATATAATCCCACTTAAGTCTCAAATGAACTCTATGAAACAGGCATTATTATCACCATATTACAGATCAGAAAGTTGAAACACAGAAACTTTTAAGTAACTTGCTCAGGGTCACATAACAAGTGGTTGAGCTGGGATTCGCACCCAGTCTGGCTTGGGAATCTGCTGTTAGCCCTGCCTGCTGCACTGAGTCCCCTAACCTTGGCCATGTAGATCATTTCCAATGTTTTGTTATAAACAACACAGCAATCTACATCTTTGTGTGTAACTGTTCCCCCCTCCAAAATTTCGGTTTTTCCTGAGTGAATAGGCATGAACAGGATGCCAAGTTGCTTTATAAGAAAGGAATCCATGTCGTTTTCATATAACTCAAGAATGTTAGTGCTTATTTGGCAGGAAATGGCTCAAGGTCACCCACTAGAAGATGCTGGCAGACCAAGGATTAAGAGCTGGGTTTGGGCCGGCCGAATGGCGCGATGGTTAAGAACTCGCTTGGGATGCCAGAGGGCCCCGGTTCGGATCCCACATATGAGGGCCAGTGACACTGCCCTCTGCAGCTGAGATGCTGAACAACAGCTCTACCTGGAGCTGGGCTGCCTTGAGTTGCTGGCGCCGGCGACGGCGTGGGCTG